GAAGGTGAAATGCCACCAGCGCACAGCCTAGTGGAACTGGAAACTGCTCCAGCAGGAACTCACAAAGAGAAATACCTCGTCTGACCTGGCAGAGGAAGTGCGAAGGCGGGGGCCGCGGATCCCCCTTGCCAGAAAGGTCAGGTCCTGAGCACAAGCGCTACGGACTTGAGCCAAAATGGCTACGGAGGGGCCGACAAGGAAGACATTCCCCCCGAAAGGGGGTGCAATTGAAGACGAAATGGGCGGGATTCGAGGGTTGGGGTATACGGAATGCAAGACACGCGCGCCAGTAAGAGCGAACAGTCTCAAAATGATTGTTGTTGTCGTTGTTGTTGTTGCTGGTGTGTTGTTGTTGTCGTTGTTGTTGAACTGCCACTTCTACCGATTAAGTATTGTTGACCTCCCTCCCTTACCCATGATATGTTTTAATTGAAATGTGCCCCCTTCTGGGCTCGCACCCTGTTCTTTTTCAAAGGAAACTTGATGTCACCAAACTGCAATGTTGGGCCCCGAGCTACAGAAACAGCTGCTCCCACCTGAGATTTCCTCACAGTGTATTACAAAGCCGCGCTCTCGCGCAGATTTTCCTCACAAGTAATGCAGAATTCGCGCTGTCGCGTGGACTTCCTCGCAATTTATTCAGACGCCGCGCCCTCGGCACTCAGGAATCACGCTCTCGCTTTGGCCTCTCTTGCGATTTACGTGGGAATCGTGCTACCGCTCGAGATTTCCTCGCGGTTCATGCAGTACTCACGCTTCAACAACACGCCTTCTTGACCTGGCCGCTTGGGCTTGCCTTTCTCACCCGCCCGTTAGGGTCTACCCGCCCGATGGGCCCGCCTGGTTCTGCCACGTGCTTTCTGCTCCTAGCCTCCCTCCTGCTAATTCCGTGCTCCATCCTTCTCCCTCCCCATTCCATCCGTCCTCTCTTCCCCTATTTCGAAAACTAAACTAATTACACGCAACAGGTAAGAAAATGTACCCCCAGGGGGTACGATCGAAGACAAAGAGGGCGGGTACCGAGGGTTTGGGATATACGTATTGAGCGGCACGCCGGCAGGTAACAGCGGACTGTCTTAAAATGTCTGTTGTTCTCAAATCTCATTTCTACAGAGTGATCATGTTTGATCCCCCCTTCCGGTAACCATTGTATGTTTCCAGTTAGAGCGCTTCTCCCGAGGCTCGCACCTTGTTTTTAGCAAGGGGCAGGACACCTCACCAAACTGTGCTGTTGAGCTTCAACGTACAACAACAACGGCTCCTGCCTAATACATTCTTGCAATGTATTCCCAAGTCGCGCTCTCGCGCTGGACTTCCTTACAATAAATACAAGAATCGCGCTCTCACGTGGGCATTCCTCACAATTGATTCAAACGCGCCCTCGACACTCAGGAATCACGCTCTCTCACGATTTATTTGAAAATCGCGCTATCGCTCGAGACTTCCTCGTGACTCATGCAGGACGTCCTGCGAAATCGAACGCTTCCGCAGGCCCACCTTCCAAACACATGGCAGACTTCCACAATTTCGCCTACCAGTGCAGATAAGGCTGAGACTGGCGCAGGCTACGCCATGATCGATTCACTACTCACTACTCTTCTCATCATCTCATGTCGTGATTACTTACTGCGTATCGGCTCGGCCAGAGTAACTGTTTAACATAATTTGACGAGTCGGTAAATCTATGTATGTATATATATATATAGAGATGGAACAGATTCCATTGACGAAACGATATGTCTACATATGGGAGGCCAATCGATCAATCAACACCGGCCTGGCAACCAATCGATCGACCAATGAAGTGATGAAGTAATGCATAACCGACCGGATGCATTAGCAATGTTACGAGTGCTTCGCTTGGGCTCAGTCAGTCTCTGAGAGGCGGCCCCACCAACCTGAAAACAAGACAGCTAGCCTCGAGTCCTGATCATCCGATATGGCACAAGAAGTCCAGATCCCCGAAAGGCAAACCCAGCCTTACCTCGTCTGATTCAAGCTCGCCTGCACTGAAAGCACATGAAAACACTGGCGCGTCGAGACGCACGGGAAAGAAAATGTCGAGGGAAGGGGCATCCCCTCTGATCTCCACTGGGAACGGCCTTGCCTTCAAACCCCGCTGGGTGAATGCCTTGAGAACTTGCCAACCTGCGCCTCTGAGAAAGTCAGTTCAGAACCGACACCCTGACCCCTCCCGTACACTGCAGCCGAGCTGTTAAAATGAGGACACTAAATAAGGAACGAAGCCCTTATTTGGTCCCAAAAGCGCCTGCGTGGACAACGGACGCTAGAGGAGCAGCCATGGAAGGACCTAAAGAATAGCGAGCCCCTTCCGAACCCAAAGCGGTCCTTATGTCAGCGCCTTGGCTGTATCCAAACAAGTTGTTCGAGCTGCGCCCGTGGCGACGTGGATCCTCTGAAGGCCACCGAGAGGACCCTGCGTCCCCCATATGGGGGGGGCACGTGCACAAGAGCGGGCTCGGCAGGATAGCGGGAGAAGAGATTGGAGGCGCGGCACTCTTCACCACCGTCGTCGTCGGCGTCGTCGTCGGCGTCGTCGTCGTCGGCGTCGTCGTCGGAGTCTGCGTCGTCGGCGACGTCTGCGTCTCCGTCGGTCGGCAGCGGCCGTCGGCCGCGGAGGACGACGACGACGCGGTGTCGGGCACCACGCGTTGTCGGTGCAGGTGGGCCATGCGAGTGGGCAGCGCAAGTGGACAGTAGTTCAACTGCGCCGCCCTCTTGGCAGGGACCCTGTAGCGTCTCTACTCCAAAGACCCTTGGGAGGCTCTGGAAGCCACGGAGATTCCATCCCCGTAGGGGCCCTGGGGGCACCCTGGACATCTTGGGGGGATCCTGGAGGCTCCTGGGCACGTTGATCGTGCGGCGGGCGGTCCCAGATTCTCCCCCTTCGCGATCCCATCCTGTGGAGGGCATCTGCGGTCCGACACCGTCTTGCTGCATCCGCTCGGAAAAATGTTCGGAGCCTCCCTCTGGAGTCCCCAAGAGGCCCCCGGAAGCCCCCGGATGCTGCCAGGAGGACCCCAGAAACCACTGGCACAATGACGGTGCTGGTGGGCGCACCATGCTCTTGCACCACCACCTCGGGGAAGCGCTTAGCGATCGCACACTGCGCTCCTGCGACACTTGTTTTGTCGCAGCGGCGGAAACCTTAGCCGCGTTCAAAGGCAGACGTGCGGGCGGCGGGAGGGAGAGGAGCGCGCGGGAGAGGGGACGAGCACGCTCAGAACATGCAGTCCTTGTGCGTGAGTGCCACAGCGCATGCACAGCGAGGAGGAGGAATTCCTTACAGGAGGCGTTCCCGCGACACACACACACATGCACACACACACACACACACACCTGCGGACGGTCCGAGAGTGCCCATCCGCCCCACCCCCACTGCGGAGGCCTCGAGAGTCTCCCGGAAGCCCCTGTTCCCTGCGGAGCTCCTGGAGGTTCCTGGGCGTACTGGCGGTGGCGACGGGCGGGCGGTCCCACACCGCCCTCCTGGGCGACACCGCACCCTCCTGCCGCGGGACCTCCCCTGGGGAGCGAGGCCGTGCACGGCAACAGCACAGCCGAACACCGACCGAACCGACAGCGAAACCGAAAGCGAAACAGACCGAAGTCGAGAGGCCGAAAGCAACCTAACCGACCGAACGCAACCGACTGCGACGCAACCGAACCGACCGAACCGCGAACACCCTTGGGGAGGCCTCTCAAGCCGCTGGGACGAGGCCCCTGGGAAACCTTCGAAAGATGTGCGGTGCCGCGGCGTCCTCCCCCCCAACTTCTGCAAATCATAGCCCCATGGAAGTCACTGGAGGCTCCCTGGAAGCATCCAGGGGTTTTCGGGAATTCCTCGAATCGTCATGGAGGGGATGCGCTCCCATGTCGCTCTGAAGAATGATGTTCGAGCATGAACTCTGAATTCGCCTGTTACAATGGTGCGCCCACCGCGGTGCATGGATGTACATTTGGGGAGTCTTTGGGGTCAGGGAGAACCAGTGGCAAAAACAACTGATAATTACTTTGCGGGAGTCATGAGCGACAGAGACCTCTGCTATCCTCAGCGATTCTACGTATATGTCGCTCCAGGTCTGCACGATTGTGGTGCGCATCCAGTTATGTCCATGTGGAAGCCACATGCTGCCAACGCACGGGGTATGGGTATGTACTGCACGTAACCCAATTCCGCTCTGGGGATCTCGATACCGCAGGAAATTTACCGCAGGGCACACTGCACGAAACGTATCGCAGTGCGAGTCGAGATCAGTGCAGTGCATGAGTGAGGTGGCGACATCCGAGCCCTACCCCCACCAACTATCCATTCTCCTGGATCGATGGGAGGCGGGGGTGGGGTTCAGATTTCGCCACCTGCTCGACGAATTCCGAACCCTATCCCCGCCGCTCATCGAGTTGCCTGAATCGTTGATCGGGGAGGGTCGGGCGACGAGGCCAAATCTTCCCACATCGGTCCCTCCCGGACCACTCGCAAGGCCCATGTGGTTGAATTTTTCACTCCAGCCCCGTGTTTCATGGTCCCGGGGCCCGACAGTTCCCACCAGTTGCCGAAAATAGCCAAAAACCTGTTCGCCGATTTTTGTTGGTTCGCCACCCTCGTCGGAGGCGGAGGGTTCGTACTTCGCCGACGATGGGTCACTTCTCCACCCTCCTCGTCCCCTCCTCTCTGCCGGAAGAGGGAAGGGGTCAGGGAGGTGGTCGTGGTGTATATTTTTGGGCCCCGTACACTTCGGCCCTCGTGGACCTCCTTGGCGGCGCGCAAAATTGGGGTGGCGGATGGCTTCTTAGAAGCAGGCTGCTCCTTAGAAGACGCCGGCTTCATGCCTACAGATCAGGCTCGCGCCTTCTAAGAAGCAGGTACTTCTAAGAGGCCCTCACCCCTCCCCCTCTGCGCGTGGCTGACCCCCTCCGCGCTAACCCCCGCGCTTCCGGCCAACCGGCCCGCACCCCCCACGCGGCCGGCCGGCCGGCGGCACCCGCAGGCACCGCAGCCGCGAAGCGACCCTGCCGGCGTCGCGGGGTGCGCAGGAGACCCAGACGTGCTGGCCGCGCGCCATAGCCACCTCCCCTACCGACGGCTCTGCTCGGCGGCGAGCCCGGGGAGTGTCGGGATCGAGGGAGGTTCGAGGTTTTCGGGCGTCGCCGTCGGTTCTCGGCGGTTTTCCAACATCGGGATGCGCTCCAGTAGCTGCGCCTCGCCGAGAGCGTTTCGGGGGTGCCTGGCGAAAGAACAAAAACAACTTAATTACATGTTTTGTCTGAGGTCCGCGCGGATGTCTTGGATCGGCGCTGGAACCCCCTACCTGTTGCGAATAGCTCGAAGGGGGTGCGTGGCGCTGGAGGCGCCGCCAGGGGGGTCCAGCGCCGATCCAAGAAATTCGCCCGGACCTCCGAGAGATTATGTTTGTACAGTTGTCGTTCTTCCAGTTGAGCAGAGAGCGACCGTCCCAGCATTCCCATAGGCCTGCCACGACGTGTTTTATATTGATAAGCGAAACAATGTTCTCGGAACGAAAGCCGTCTCCTTGGAAGAACATGGAGCCGGCGCATTAAAAGAAGGCGGTCTCAACCAAAAACGTGCTGAGAACGTTTGGTGGAAACCACAAAAGGGTTCTTGGAACACCCTGTGGCGGGCCTGTAGGCACGTCAAGACGCTTCGCCCCCGCTTGACTCGATGATCTTCAGGACGTGTGTTAGCGCCAGCGTGTGCTTGTTCCACCGAAGCCCTCCAACGCAACGTAGGCATGTGTGAGGGCCGAGACTGGCGTGCGAATGATCGGCCAAGCTCGACGAGGTAAACAAACAATGAGCTCACACACGTCCTGAAGATCACCGACTGACGTGCCCCTCCCCCGCACATCTGGCGCCTCAGGGAAATCGGCGCGGCCAGCGTGCCGTGACTCCTGGCCCCTGGAGGCCGGGTTCGGGCCGCGGGGCCGGCAGAACACGGCTCGGGAGGTGAGAAGACGCCCCCTGGGGAGTATCTCCTCATTCGCGGCGATCACGGGCGAGAGGGGGGAAAGGGCGGGGGGGCCGTCAGAAAACGGCTCGGGATGAGAAGCCGCCCACTGGGGAGCATCTGTTCATTCGCGGCGATCACGGGCGACAAGGGGGGGGAGGGATAACGCAACGCGCCCCCTCATCCGGCCGTGTGGGTCCCCACAGACCGCGGTAGTGCCGGGGACGCACATGAGGGGGGTGGGGAACGTTAAGTTCTGGGAGGGGGATGGGGGGGGGCATAACGCGAGTTAAGGCCAACAGGATAAAACAACCTTTCTACGGAAGGGGTCGAGCTGTCGTGGGGCCCACGCACCCAAAACTCGCAGCGCCAGATGTCTGTCCCCCGCTGCGGGCGGGCGTTGTCCTCCCCCTGTACGCTTCCCCTCCTGGTGCCTCCTCCGCCTCCACCTGTCGGCGGCGAGGCTGGGGGGAAGTGAGAAGAGGCTGGCCTTCTCAGAAGGCTCGGAGGGCCTCGGGACTTCTGAGATTTCTCTGCCTGTCCCGAAGACACCGATACCTTCTCAGAAGGCCATGGCGCTTCTGAGAAGCCCCACCGCCTTCTGAGAAAGCCTTCTCCCTCTCACTTCCCCACGGGCGCGCCGCCGACCTGGTCCTAGCGCCCACCCTTGCTGTCTTTCTGATCCTGGTGCTTCACCCACCCGGCTCCCCAACCTGCCAACACTAATGCGTCTTCACCTGGGAAACCGGTATACGAGACTCCCAAGGCGAAACGCTCCGATTGTTTAACTGCGGCACCGCTTGGATGGCATCGAAGCCTATAACAACATCACCGAACATTGGACATATGTTTGCCGACACATGGCCATGTTTGTCATCACAATGGTATGACGATAAATGGCGTCGCGTCTTCACAATGATTGGCGCCGTGTCGTTCACAATGACCGTCACGCGCTATGTTCCGATAGTGTTGAAGGTATCTTGCATTGCCACAGGCTAAACTCTGGAAGCCGACATCGAATGTCATGTATATCATGCTGGTTGGCGTTGAAAACAGTGACGACAAGGAACGGACGCCCAAACGGAAATGCCACCTCGGAATGATGTGTGGCAAGCAGGTCCCGGTAAATCAGCTCTCGGCGACCACCAATGCCGTCTGCATACAGGCACCAGCAGCTTGATTCGTGATTGATGTCGCGCCTCCAAGACAATCAGCGGTTCTGTAAACGTACCAAATAAATCGGCTTGCAATTCATACGTAAGTTCGGGATTGGGGCTTGGGGCGTAAGGTGCGCATCAATTCCGTATGGCGGTTGCTCTTACAACTGATCTGATCTACAATGACCGTATGACCATGTCAGAGTAAGGGGGCCGAACGGTCATTCATTGTCCCTGGGTGCGTGGCTGAAGAGGGGATCCGTGGTGAGGATTCTGCTTGTTGCGTTATTGTGTTGTTGCGTTGTTGTTATTTGTTGTCGTCGTCCCACCCGCGACCCACCCGCGACCCACCCCGCGACCCACCCCGCGACCCACCCCGCGACCAACCCCTCGACCCACCCGCGACCCAATTGCGACCCACCCGCGACCTACCCGCGACCCACCACGCGACCCATCCGCGACCCACCAACGCCCCACCCGCGACCCAATTGCGACCCACCCGCGACACACCCCGCGACTCCCCCCGCAACCAACCCGCGACCCATTTGCGACCCACCCGCGACCTACCCACATCGGTTTAACGAAAAAATCGGCGGCTGCGGCGGGCTCGTTGTTGAATGTGTGAAACTTTGGCGCCTGCGGCGGGCTTCTCCGGAGTCTCGCAGACTGCCGACGTCCCCACCGCCCCCTCACTCTTATCCACATTTGCGGGGTGCTACGTATTGATAACCGCCACCGTGCCGCGAGGCGCGAAGTGGAATTTTCTCCAGGCGCTCGTGTGTCCTCTGTTCTCTGTGCTCAGGACTCTGGGATTATAGTACTCTAAAGGCTGAGGCCTCAAATACTGACATTTCCTTGGCGTTCCCCTTGGACCGCCTCGCATGACGCTTCCAGAGGCCAGAGGGCCCCAAGACGGGCCAGAGGGCCCCAGAAAACTCCCAAGAGGGTCCAAGAGGCTTCCAAAACAGCCCAAGAGCGCTCCAAGACGCCCAAGACGGCCCAAGAGGCCCCAAAAAAACCCCAAGAGCGCTCCGCGAGGACCCCCAAGAGGGCCCAAAGAGGCAAACATCGTTGATCTCCCTTGTGTGTTTCGATGTGTCGCGTTCTCGCGTGTTCTGGCTTCCGACTCCAAGATGGCCCCCCAAGGCCGCCCCAACACAGCCCAAGAGGCCCCCTGGAGGGCCCACAGGCGGTCCAAGAGGGCCCCAAAACAGTCCACGAGGCGCCCAAGAACGCCCAAGAAAAACCCTAAACGGCACCAAAAGGGACCGAAGAGGAGGAACACGAACCGATACTTCGAGTCATCCGCCCCAAGAAGCCCCAAAGAGGGCCCAAGAGGCCACCAAGAGAGCCCAAGAGGCCCCCTAGAGGCCACACGGGATCCCGAGAGGCTCAAAAAGAGACCCAACAAGAAGCCCCCACACAGCCCCCAAGAGGCGTCAAAACTGTCTCCAAGAGGCCCCCGAGATGCCTCCCACGATATCCAAACAACCATCCAAGAGGCCTCTAACCCACAACCCGGGTACGGCGGCGGGATGGGGGAGGGGCCGAATGTCACTGTATGTATATATGTGTACACACCTATACACATGTGATGTGTATATACATATAGCAAGTACGGACGCTTCTAGGCGGCCAAGCAGCGTCAGCTGTATTGATACATCTTTCCTGTGTGCGCGCTCGAGAGGCTTCCACAGGCCACGAGTTCGGGGCACGGCGTCGCGCCCCGCTGAGACATCAGCCAGCACAGATCCCACAACAGGTAATGTACAAAAGTGGACCGAGAGAAAAGGGTCGGGATGGGAGGGTCGGAGCTTGAGCAGTACGGCCGCGAAGAACGCGGTGCGGCCGCCTGCCCGCTCCCCTCCTCGCTTCACGATGTTAAATCTACCAGCAAGTACGGGCGCTTCTAGGCGGCCAAGCAGCGTCAGCTGTATTGATACATCTTTCCTGTGTGCGCGCTCGAGAGGCTTCCACAGGCCACGAGTTCGGGGCGCGGCGTCGCGCCCCGCTGAGACATCAGCCAGCACAGATCCCGATTCCCAAACGGGCAGACTGGCCGCCAGGCCGGAGCCCCACGGGGCTTCCACTGAAAGAAGAAACTGAGAACCTACGGGCACAGAATCTCTCCGAGGCGCAATCCATGCATTTGCTCCGAGGAATGGGCAAGGACGGCGGCGGCAGCGCGAGCGAAGGGCGGGGGGTACGCGGCAGCCAGGCTGGTCCATTTGCGACCGCCTGGCGCCGTCCCCGACAATTCGATGTGGTGCTCCCCAGTGCGAGAGCAGATCACATTCTTTCCATTGCACCAACGAGTGAGGGGTTCAAAGCTGGAAACGTTCCACCCCTGAAGCCTGGCGGCTTTCCGCCACCGGGCCCCGTACTGACAGAGGTGGCACACAACGAAGTCAGACTCGGGCTGAGCTCCAAGACGGGCTAGTCTGGGCGCCGCCCAAATCAGGGAGGTCTGGGGATTCTCCAGAAGAACAGGCACTCCGAGATCATTGGCCAACGAGATGATGCGGCACGAACAACTGAGGGTCGCACTCCTACTCGAACTCTAGCGGATTCGCTCTCGCTGAGATCGGGCAATCCCATGGGCGAGGCAACATCTCGGAGGGGCTTGCGAAGGGCCCGTGTCCATGTCGTACACGGGGTACCCAGAAAAATCCCCCAGATGAGACCGCACTTGATCCAGCCCGAGACGAGCCTTTCAAACGTTTTATCTAGATGTTCTTCAAAGGGGCCATGCAGGAGGTCCAGGCTGAGGGCTCCAAAACCCTCGGCCCTGAGGGCCTTCGCGACCATCCCTGTCCCACCAACAAATTCCAAGAACACTCCGTGCGCCTACGCTTGCGAGAGGCTTTCAGTTCTCGAGCGAGCAGCCGCTTCAAGTGACGCTGGACCTGCGCCGGCGAAGCTATGGCAGCGAGGCTCCGATCAGCGCCTGCGCGGGCGCGGGCAGCTGCTGCCACAGGCGCGGCCGCTGCGTGAGGGCGGGCCCCAGCTCGACAATCTCTAGCAGGTTGGCGTGCACGAAGCGGCCTAACACGAAGACCCAGTCGGGAACTTTGGTCATGGCACCCTGCAAGTAGGCCTCCTTGGCATAACGCTTCATGCTGCCCGGCGAGGCCCGCCGGCCGTGCCTCTGGGTTTGCTCCAGCGTCCTCCGGCCCTCCAGCAGATCCCAGCTCGCCCCGCCGCGTCGCAGCGCGTAGAGGGTCGGGTCGAGGGCCTGGAGCTGCAGCAAGTCCGCGAACTCCCTGAAGCGGTCGCGCAGCGCAGGCAGCGTGAAATCCCAAAGGCTCTGGCCGAAGCCCACGGCGGCCTTGAGGCCGGCGAGCAGCGGCCACAATTGCCGGTCGAGATCTATCACTACACTCTCGTTGTACAACCCGGTCTTGCCTGGGCGGCCGCCGCTGGTGGGGTGCAGGAGCAGCGCCCAGCAAGCCGCCGAGGCCGCTGCCTGCGCCGCTGGGCGCACAAGAGAGCCCCCTCGCAGCCCCTGCGCCTCGAACGGCCTCAGGTAGCAGCTGAACGAAAGCAGGATCCATATCGCCATGCGTCGGCGCCCGCTGATGGCCAACAGCCCAGCCAGCGCTGCTGCCGCGAAGTATGGAAGCGGCACCCGAGTCATCGAGGGCACGCGACGCGCCCAGGCTATCGAGCTCCTTGTGGCGCGCGGCAGATGGGCCTTCCACGAGCCCTGGAGGCCTGGCAAGAAGTGCGCCAGGGACGCCAGCAACAGGGACCCCTGGCTCGCGGGGGCCCCGCACTCGAACTGGTAGTTCAGGAAGCGGGTGGCCACCGGGTCGAGTTGGTCGAAGTCCCTCCAGTCCAGGCGGCTCCAGGGCGCTGAGCTGTCCCATCGGCGGCCGCTCGGCCATCAGGCGACCCGCCAGGGCGGCGCGGCGGCCGCGGGCCTCCAAAGCAGCTGGCGGGGGCCTCCGCGCGGGCCGGCGCAGGACCAGCGGCCGCGCAGCCGCTGGGCGCCGCCGCGCCGCCATGCGCGGGAGGCTGCCAAGCGCGGGCGTCGGAGTCCGAAAACCAGGTGCGACGCCCTCGAGAAAGAGCGTCGGCAGGGTTGCGTTCTGACGGAATCCACCTGCAGTGCAATCTCGTTCCCGTAGCAAGTGACATCATACAAATTTTGAGCAATGGAAGTTGTAGGTATGCTGAGGCCGTTCTCCCCTTCGCCACGGCCAGACACAACGGCATATTATCGACCAGCGCCAGAACCCGTTTGCCTCGGCAGGCTGAGGACCTCAAGAGGTGCTTGTAGGCAACTACCAGGGCGTCGGCCTCCAACCCCAAGATGTTCTGGCCCGCCTGGACCTTCGTAGCGACTACGCCCCTCCAAGACTTAGCATCCAAGAGACCTGCGGGCACCTCGTCGAACTCCTTGAGCTTATTACCAAGATCCAAGATCAAGGGGCCCTCGTTGTGGAGCTCCATGTCGGGGTCCTCGGGGAGCTTGTCGGGGCCCAGCGTGCCAGGCGAATCCGAGTCGAAATCCAACTGACTGCGATCAAACACGACCTCCCTTCCCGCAGGCTCGCAGGGGCCAGCAGCAAATGACGATGCATGGGGTGAGCGGGTCGAAGCAGAGGAGAGAAGAGCTCTATCTCTGGCGCGCGCCCCACCCTCCACTCGGTACCGCCACCGCTCGCAGAGACGCCCGCAGCGGGCGATGAGGTCGCCTGAGGCCTGCCGACGGCAAACGCCCAGCCCCTCCTCGCTGGCGTCACTGGCGACTAGCCTCGTCGCCCAGGGCGCGGTGAGGTCCGCCACAAGGAGCGGCAGCAGGCAGCGAGCGCGCCACAGCTCAGTCCGCACGGAGGGCCAGAACGTCTGCACCTCCGTGCCGGACGCTATCATGAAGGCGTAGGTCGCGCTGAGGAGCCCCAGCGCCTCGCGCCTCACCATCGAGGCCCAGGTCAGGTGGCCCACCAGCACGCGCACGAGGTGCCCTGAAGCGCGACCGCGCCTGAGCAGCTCCTCGATGGCGAGCTTCAGCCTCCAGACAGAGCGCCCCTTGATGGCGCGCCAGCGGCCCTGCCTCAGCTCCATCCCCAAGAAGCTGCAAGTGTCCGAAGCCCGATCAGGCTCATGGACCATGGACTCTCACGCCAGCGCCCTCTAACTCCGCGGTGATGCGATCCAGAGCGCGATCGGCCTCCGACTCGTCGCCGCTGACGGCCAGGTAGTTGTCCACGTATCCTGCGACGGCGGCCTGGCCCTGCGGCTCCACGACGACGCCGGGGAGGCCGTCTTCGATGATGAGGTGGCCCGGCACGCCAGCCCGCGAGACCGCGGTCCGCAGAGCCAGCTGGCAGAGGTGCAGCGCCCAGGAGAAGCCCATCGGCAGCACGACCAAGCAAGCCTGCACCCTGGTGGCATCGGGGAGTCCCGCGATGCCGCGTGCCTCCAGGTGCCGCCTGTCGATCGGCGGAAGCCTGAAGTAGCGGCACAAGCCCTCGGGCATCAGCAGCCGGTAGAAGGCGTTGTCGATGTCTCCAGCCGCGACGACCACCTTGCCTCCTGGCGCCTCCAGGTTCGAGAAGGCGGCAGCGCTCGGCAACGTGGTGGCTGGGGGGTCCGTGAAGTACGCATTCGCAGTACGAGTATCAAAAATTAGCCTCAGACGGTTGCTCTTCTTTGCCACGCAGAAGACTCCAATCGGCTTGATACGAGGGTCCTCCGCCTAGAAACAAATCATCTTCCGCTTCAACATCTCAGCAAGGAAGTCGGCGAACGTCGCCGGAGAGAAGGCAAGGTGGGGGTCGACATACGGCCCGCGAGGGCAAACCTGCTGCAGGAGGGCGTCCGCCTCCTCGCGACCACGCAGCATGCTCGAGCTCCATGCCCTAAGCCACTGAGCGTCTGGGCCAGCCACGACCTTCGTGAGCGGCACAGGGGTCGTCGCCGACGTCGGGCCACGAGATCAGGTCCCGCGAGTAGGGTCGGCGAGGCCCCCCCGTTGCGTACAGCGGGGAGCCAGAGAGAAGATCCGAAAGAGCTCCTTCGGGAAACCCTTCGCCCTCAGCCAGCGGCTCGAGGCAGGCGAAGGTGGACTGGATGTGCGCGAGAGACGCCCGCTGGCCTTCAGAGACTCCGAGGGCTGACGGCTGGGCCTCAGGGGCACACGCAGCGTTCATGACGTCGATGGCGTCGTTGGCCCAGTCCTGCCAAGGAGCATCATCAGAAGACTGACGGTGACCGCGGCGGCTGCGCACAAAACTGGAGCCCTCGCGAGGGCGGCCCAAGAACGGCAAGGGGAAGATGTCCCGCTGGCGCCCTCCTGGCTCCGCACGGCGCGAGGGCTGAGGTGGCCCGTCAGCTGAGGCGTCAGGGCCCGATGGGCTGGTTGGCGGGAGCGGGCGCCCAACTCCGCTCCCCGCTCCGAGGCTACTTGTCATCCTTGCCAGAGCCCTTGTCGCCCTTGGACCCCTTCTTCTTGCGGGCCAAGTCGCGCTCCTCTCTGGCTTTGCGCTGCTCCTTCCTGTAAGCATTCATCTTCGTGAGCTCGTCCTTGATGTGGTCCTGCAGCATCGGCGCGACGCACGCGTTCCCGCGCAGCTGGTCCGTGCCGAGCAGCACGCGTGCGTCGAGGCTGCCTGAATCAGCTGCCGGGGCGACGCGGTCCCTGTAGCGCTCCTCCTGGAGCTGCACCGACCTGGCCAGCATCTCGCCCGAGGCGAGATTTGCCACATTCAGCTGGTCGTAGATCACCATGCGCTCGAGGGTCCTGCACGCCCGCTCGTGCTCGTCGACGCCGGGCTCGTGCCCCTGCAATCGCGTCTCCGAGAGCCAGCGCGAGTGGCGGACCAATGAAGTGCCGCCGTGAGCCTCCATGAACTTGAGGACCCACAGCGCCGTCCGCGGACCCCTGACTGGCCAGTCGGGAAAAGCCCCCTCGGTCATGTTCATGACCGCGCTGCGGTAGTCCGCGTGCCGCTGCCCCTGCAGGTCGTGCGTGACGGGCTGGATGCGAGCGTCAGCTGGCGCGGCCGCAGCCGCCGCCGCTCCCAGGCCTCCAGCTGCGGCAGCTGGCCCTGCAGCTGCGGGCGCCGCTACCAGCGGCGGCGGGGGGCCTGCCAGCGCCGGGGCGCCTGCCACGGGCGCCGCTGGGCCGCCAGCGAGCGCAGCGGCCAAGCCAGCCACTCCAGCCGCCACGGCGGGCCCACCGATCCCGGCCGCGGGCGCCGCGGGGGGGGCGGCAACCAGCATCCCAGCGGGCGGCCCCACGCCACCAGCAGCGAGCGCCGCAGCCGCCGCGCCTCCGGCAGGCGCGATGCCAGCGGCGCCAGGCCGAGGGCGAGCACCGCCTGCAGCGCCAACCAGGTTGGGCATCACCGCGTCCCCACCGCCCAAGGCGACGCCCATCCTCGCAGCTCCCGCGGCCAGCACCTGCGCGACCCGCGCGGGCGCAGGGACGCCCCTGAAGCCGTGCACGTGCATCCCAGCTGCAGCTGGAGGGCACGCGCCCATGCGTCCGCCTTCGCACCGCAGCCAGCGGCGCACCTCAGCGGCGGCGAAGAGGTCCTCCTCGTAGCTGTCGTCGTCCGGCGTGAGGGCACACGCCAGGCCAGAACCGTCGGGCGCGAGCACCACCAAGCGCTCGTGCCACACGTTGGCGTACCCCACGTACTCGACCAGGACGAAGTCCCCTTCCTGCAGACCCAGAGCCGCTATCGGATGCCGCGCAGCGGCCGCCGCCGCCATGCTAGCGGGTCAGCTGTGGCCTCGAGGCTCGCAGAGCCGCCACCTGAGCCGCCGCCAGCTGCGCCGCTGAGGCCGGCGCCTCTAAGGCCGCCGTGGGCGGCCGCGCGGGGACGTACGCCGGCGCAGGGGCCCCAGGTGTCGCGGGTGCGCCCCGCCTGCCAAAGGCCCAGCCAGCGGCGCCCACCGCGGCAAGGCTGGCCAGCCACGCAAGGCTGGCTCCCAGCAGCCCGGGCCGCGGGACCTCCGACACCGAGCCGCCTGGGCACGCCAGCCGCGGCTCGCAGGTGCAGGAGCAGGAAGGGCACGGGGGCGGCGCCGGGCACGCCGGGCACTGCGCACCCCAGGCGGCGCCCCAGGCCGCCGCGCCGGCGGCGAACC